GTCCCAAATTCTTTTTGAGTTTCAGAGAACAAAGAAGTTGGAATATTGGGAAGTTGCTGCATTAATATCCTTTAGAAMTTGTCTATCTAATGTTGGAAGTTCTGCCATTAAAATCTTGGTGYAATCTCTTCTTTCTTTAAAACCTCTGAGCGTATTTTCCTCACTGTTCTTTGTACTTCAGCATCACTCCTCAGATTTTTTCCCTCTCAGCCTTCATTTTCATACGGAGTGGTAGAAACCACCTCAAACTCTGCTGGATTTGATKCCATACATTACTCTGCATATACAAAAAAAAACTGTCGTGTCAAATGGAAATGATCCAAACTTTGGCCTAGTTTCCTTCTGCCTTTTCCCTTTAAAAAATAAAATAAAAGGAACTTTTCTGACTTTTCTTATCTGTTTCCGTACAGGCAGAGCTGAAAGTTGTCTCCTCTGAGTTAAAAATACATCTCCAAAGTTTTTTCCAGTACATCATTTTTCAGAGTGGTTTCTTATCCTTGAAACTGTGAAAGCCTTTAAAAGTTCTAAGATTTTAGACCTTGTTGGACAACGTCAGTGGTTGCCGTGGTAACAACAAATGTCCTKTAATGCTACGGTGAAGACGTTCATTCACTTAAGTGCAACAGGTGCAGAAAAATGCAGCGCTTCATCTCTGAAAAACCTGCTTGGTGACTTTTACAAATCTGGCATCAAAACATCAAACAGTAAATTCCATAGAATTTGAGTCAATTCTTTTTAAAACAGTGATAATGTCAGAACATGTCTGTCTGAACTTAATGGCAGAAAAGCCTTTCTACAATCGCAGTACTTATCAGAAACACTTGTGGCTCTAGATGCTAGAGGAGATTGGTGGGCTGTGAGGAGGGCAGTTTGACCCAACAGAATCTGACAGACAAATTCATCCTCAACAGCCCTGCAGCACAAAGTGAAGACCTGTCACTAAAGGTTCTTTAAAGACAAACATTTGACTACATGAAATCTAAGATTTGTCACCTCACAAATAGATTTTGGGGGGAAAACATCTCTTCGTAATAGTACAACTAGGCATGGGACGATAAGAAATGTTGACGGTATTATGATTACAGCTTTAAAAAGTTTTATTTTGAAATTGGTCTTTACAAAAAGAAGAAAACATCTTTTCTATTATCATATTCAACTTTAATTATCTTTGGAAGCTGTTTTTAGATCTCAGAGGTGTTA